ATATATAATTTACTAAAAATCTGAAATTTATTGTGGACGACCGCAAGGCAATGAAATGCCATATATGCCCTTGTCATTTAAAGATTATTACATGTTTTTTTTCATAAAGATATATATTTTTTATAAAGTGACCTCACTTTATGGGCTTTGAATAGCAAACTAAACAACTATTAGTCTAAGCACATTGCAAACTTTTATTGGTGTATTCTTTAAAATGCATGTGATTTACTAAAGGGAATAAAACCCATTTCATATCAATAGCAAATCAACATATGAATATCCAGTTCCAATGAATTTGCATTTGACATGTAGTTACTACATGCATGATATGAAGTGCTTGGTTTCACACCACCAGAAAGAAAAGTTAGATAAGTTTATAGCAAATAAGTTCATACACTCCTAGTCAATTTCAGAAATATCTATGACAATAAGATAAGGTCAAGAGAGAACCCATGAAAGCAGAATTAAGAGTTTTAATACTGAGATACCAGTTTCTAAGGAATTTGGAACATATTCATTGGCACCTTCAGCTCAAGAAACAAAACACAACCATTGTAAATTACATTAAAACACAAGTTTCTATTCTTTGACTAAACACAACTTGATATAAATGAATTATAATTATTCATAAAGTACAACTAAACACCCCACTCGCATCGCAAGTTTACTCGATTTTATGCAGAAGCAGCCCATTACATGATGGAGAAATTTACATTCTTTAACCATTTAGCTTCTCTCATCAAACATTTAGCATGCCACCAAAGCAATAAAATCTCAGTATCAGCTCCAACATGACCAGCAAGACTTCGCTTTTGATATTTTAGTTTTGTAACCATCAACAGTTTATGTTAACGTTGACCGAGAAGTGATGGCCTGTAGAAAGCTTGACTCTGAGCTATCTCTATCCTTTCACGAGGATCGTTCATAGTTTCATCTTGTAGCGCTTGAAGAATGGCTTGTGAAGGACACTCCCTGAACACAACAAATTTTAAGATTATTTATTTTAGGCTTGCATGAGAGAATAAATGAGAACCTAGAAAAGGTATACACCTAAGTTTCATGGACATAGTAGGCTGAAAACTATAGTTATATTTTGTATTAAGATCAACTTCAATTGAATACATAAAACAAAACTAGCAAAAATGATTTTTCGGTAAGCTAACTCCAAAAAAAAAAGTTGAATAATCACAATGTTAAGAAATGAAGCTGAACCTTCTAATCAGTATTTTATAAAGGGTTTTGAGGATGGGACACAGCTCAGCTGGAGCAACGGGTTTCTTCTCCTCAGGATGCAACACACTTAAGCTAGACTGGCTAAGTAGCTCGTAAAATGCACCAACTGCAGAGACTCCCTACAACAGTAAGGAATGAAATAAATAATACTTGACAAACAGCTCCGACAAAATGAAAACATCATGCAATGCAAAAACATTATTGAAACATGTAAAAGTTGGGTGACCGAAATCTAGATGTTCCAGTTACGAAAAGAATAGTTGTGAAAGTGCAAATTAAGAGGCACACCTGAATCATTCCTTTTCCTTTTATGCTGTCACCCATGTCAAGACTCAGTTCTCCCTTGGCCAGCATTTGTCCATACCATGCATTCCGACCCTTTAATAAGGTCACATATGTATCGGCTAACAAAGGACCAGCTAGTTTTTCTGGTTGTTCAGCCAACAGATGAGTAATAAATATCATTTCAGAAGTGCAGTGGGCAAAGTATACTGATTTGCTTGTTGCACTCTCATTTGTTAGAGCTGCTACCATTCCTAAGGAAATAAATGATAATACATCAATAAGAGGTTACATCCATTTTCAAAATATCGATTCAACTAAATTAATTCTACATCAATTTCTTGGAAAATTACCCATTATTTATCATCAGCAGACCAGATAGATAAAATTTTCACACTAAAAAACCTAATAAATGCATATATCTTGGTGCAACTATAATAGGAGGTTACATCGAGAAATCACATGAAGAGTTCTGATTATTCCTTATATTACAATATATACACTCTAGGTCCCTAGTATATCTTACAAGAAGCAACTTCTTAAAGAATATATTTCATTTCCTGATTCTACCCACCTTTTGAATCTTCAGCATTTTTTCTTTTTTTCTAACCAGAAGTGCACTTGTGGGAAAAAGAACAGTCATGCAGCAATGAAGTACAATTTTAAACGTTCATCACAAGGACCCTGCTTTGAATTTTATGAGGACAAACTTTGGTAACACGGTAAAGTTGCTCTTTAGTGACTTGGATAACATGGGTATGAGTCACAGAATTAGACTCTTACTTTAAGAAAAAAGAATACATATTGACTATTTTGAGACACCGTGGGCGAGAGTCTTCTGCATTGAGTTTGTTATGTCAAAGCACACACACACACTCTAAATGTGTACGGACATATAAAAAAAGCCACACATCTATGCATACACAAGCAAACTCACATACACCACAAGCACACTAATACCTGTAGGAACATACTCAGATACACTTAACACTCAGACACCACTCATGCATCCATGTAAATCCACGACTTTCATGTTCACGAATGTGTCACATGCACATGCACAGTTGCATGCATGCATGCATGCACACAACAAAACATTGTAGACAACAATAGTACGCACATGTGGCTCGTCAACACAATGATGCAAGCACATAGAAACAGGCACAGGTAATCACAATAGTAGATAAATGGAGTATGCAGTTGTACCAACCTGTACCTGTTAAGTGATCATGATTTAAGGATGATCCGAAGCCTATTGAATCCTGAATTTTCAGGGACAATTTAATCACAGTTGGCCCTATTATGCCAACAACTTTCCTGGAATGGAAGTAGGACACTTCTGATTCCGCGGCTATTATTTTCTTTGTTGATGCAACTCTTACCTTCTCATATCCTCTTTCCTGGCACTTGCTTCTCCAAATCCTCAACGAAGCTTTATCTAGGCCCTAACATATACGGACTTCTATGATCAATCATCTGTTGAACGTCGTGGATATCTTAACTAAGGCTTCTCTCATTTCCATCCATGCTAAATATAAACAAATTCTGGTTTCTTTAAGTCTTCTGTTACAAGATTTTTAACTCCTGAACTCTTCCGCAGCAATTGTTTTACATGATGCAATAGACAACATAGTTTATTTATACAACATCTCTACAGATCTGACATGTTTACCATGGCCTCATCTAATATGACACTACTAAGATGGATCTTGACCCCTGTCTCTCTTATCATTGAAATATTTGAATCACCACTAGTACAGAATTCCTACTTATTACATTTCAACTTTATCCTAGAGTATTTATATTGTTGCTTAAGAGAATAAAAATGTTTACAGACAATGTTCTGCTCAAACTGTTCCGAACTCCAAACTTGAACAACCAAAACCAAAAGAATGGAGTAATTTCCATAAAAGCTTGAGATGTCACTTGACTACGATCAATTGTATCCATCAACTAATATTCCACAATTCCATGCAGTACTATTAACATACATACGGGTGAAATTTGCCTGAGTTGTCATAGCAGAATCATTAGAGTAATTTAAGTCGTAGCCTTTTTCCTGTACCTAGTGTAAGCATTGCTTTCCAAGCAGGTTTGCTTTCAGAGCTTCAAATATAAGACCAGTCATGACATGAAACTACATTTGTGCAGAATAGTCATGATATAAACATCAAATTGTACAATCTGAATGTTTCTTGTACCAAAATTTGAGTCTATTAATATCTCATCACTGCCTGTAGAATCTATTAGCCACATTTTAGTGATCATAGTTTCTGTCAAATAGCAGGATGTAATTAGAAAAAGGAAGTTAAGAAAGTGGAAGACAATCAACTGAAAGAAAACAGAAGACCAATCAAACAAGTTTAATACACATATCAAATAATGATGGAAGTTTAACACGGTTTCCTTTTATGGGTGTAAAAGCATTATTGATAATAAAATAAAATTTACCAGCACCAATAGCATAAACATTCTTCAAGCCACCCATCACTTCATGAGTGACTAGATCGCTGTTATCCCACACAATGAAATGTGGCTGCCGCAAGAACTTGGCAAGAGGTTTTCTCCACTTCTCTGCTCCACAGATTCGAGCATTAGCATATTCCTTGTTGTAAATCTCTGAAGCAATGTTTGGACCCCCAAGATAGAGAATGTTCTCGATTGGAACTCCAGCTGCCAATGCACACTCAATCACAGAACTATAAGAAGAGAACAACTTTGCAAACTAACCATCTATCCCATGCCTAGACTTGCAGAAAATAAAATAATGTGAATATCCACAAAAAAGAACCTTATAGAAACTGACTGTACATTAGTTAAACTTCAGCTTCCACATAGAGAATGTTAAAATCTCAATTACGTTCACAAAGATAAGTGCATTAACACTATTTGCTTTCTGGAGACACATTTAGCATATTAGCACTATCATTTAGGGACCGAAGGACACATTACCGTAGCTGTTAAAGTGACGGTACAAGATGTTTCATTTTTCATTCTGCGTGTCATGGAAGAATAACAAGCTTTTCTATGTTTTCATGTGTATGGTATACATGAATTTTTCTTTTTCTTTTCAATTATTTTCTTCCACTCCTTGCAGAATTGCAGAGACGGAAATTGCAAATGTCACAAATAAAAACAGATGTATCATGATGGAAGCACACAATATATTTGTGAATCTGAGGAGCCTAAGCGCTTATGCATTTGTTTATGCATATAGAAAGAGCAAGGGGAACTCTTACTTGCACATTTGATCATCTGAGTAGGTGTTACTATACGTGGGACAGGATCTAGAGCCGCTTCTATACCCTTTGCAAGAGAGATAATAATTGGAACAGTAATCCTCTCCTTCCAATACCTACTGATATCCTCAAATACCTCCCTAGTCTCCGTAGACGGCAAACCATTAACCACAATATCTGCATCCCACACTGCCTCCTGCAAATTCGTTACAACCTTCAATGGACAAAGTGGGGTATCAATCATGTTTAAGCAAAATCCATCCCTCAATATCTCATCCGCATACAGTGTTCGATCACCGAGCCTTGCCTCCACATACTTCAAGTACGCACATCTTCTGATCAAACGCCTCAAAACATCCTCCCGTGAATTGATAACCTCGAACAAATGCTCCGCTGTGGAACGGTCAACTGATCTGCCAGGCCGTCTCCATATTCTAATCTGAACCTTATCGCGAAGATGACCATATGCATCCTGCAAGAGGGCAGCAAACACGCTGCCCCAGGCACCAGCCCCTACACCAACAATCTTAAGCAGATCACCATCAGTCTTGCCAAGGAGACGGCGGAGCTCATCTAGCCTTTCTTCAGCTCCATTGGAATTGTGACGGGATCCATTCGAGTTGACAGAACTATGATTAATTTCGACAGTGCCAACCATCTTCTTTCGAGCAGCAAACACAGAGAACTTCCAATTCGCTCAAACGACTAATTTGGCAAGTAATAATATTTGCTGAGAGATGGTTTCCAACGGGCAAATGACAGCTCTTCGACGTAGTATCTCAGCCCAAGATATTTTCTACCTCCTGGAGGACAATACAAAAACTTATTCAGCTTAAATACACAAATTTGTCATGGAAAATCACAGTACTAGACAGCCGATCTCTACCACGCTTTCTGACCAAACCAACTGTAGATCTCTCCACAAGGAAACAGCCAAAGATCACAGCTTTCAAGCATAAATCGGTAGTAAAACGCCTCAATCGCCCCACTCCACCTTGTCTGACCAAATTAAACACCGAAAGGAGCAAAACACTGGCAGTTGCCTTGGTAATTGCCGTCGGGTCTGCTCATCAACCCCACCTAAAAGTATTTAGAAAAGGCAAATAAATACTTCCGTGTCGGAGGCTCCAAAGTTACTGATGACCAATCAGATCTCTCACCCTTTTTCTCCTCAGCTCGTCCAAGTTCCAATCAAGTAAAGCCCGCGCCCGGTAGAGAAAGAGCCAGCATTGTTAGTTGGCACGGCAAAGCGGTGGTTGAGCTCCTTCAAGCTCTCACATAGCTGACGATTACCTGGGACTCACAAGATCCAAACTTGGGCGGGTTTTAATGCGGTGGGAGGGACGAGGGTGGGCGAGGAAGCGAAAATGTGTGATCTATGGATGCAAGAAAAGCTGTTCGGGGTTTCAAGTTGGTGGAGGCATTGAAGGCTTGTGATGTGGCCGACCCTATCAAGCCCATAAATGCGAGCTTCTCCCGTGTTGTGAGAAAGGCGGAGAGTCCTTTTCGTTCGCTGGGGTGGTCATGGGGTCTTCTCAGTTCTCTTTGAACACGAGGGATGTTTGTGGCATTTACATGACAGTAGTTGAGAGAGTACCCTAGGATTCTGGCTGCTAACCAAGGCTCGTCTCCGACTTCATTGATGTACCGAGTTGATTGATGCGGTTGAAATGATCTTGAAGAATTAATTCTTGTACACCCAGTTGGAAGTCGCTGAGCTTATCAAGAACACAATTAATTACATATTAGCTCATATAATTAATTATTTTATATTTTTTAAAATTATTTTAAAATCTCTATATAAATATTTAATCTCAACAAAATCTTTCCTGCTTGATTTTTAATCCTCTAAAATTATCTTCTTAATTTTGCATAAAAATTCTAATATTTTACTTTTGTAAGTATAAGGATTCTAATATAATATTTTAATATATGAACACTAAGATACTAAATATAATTAATTTAAAAAATAATCTATTATAAAAAATAATCCAATATCGCTCAAGCTCTTTTATAGTCTCTATTCTTTCAAATAAAGTTCTTAAGATTTTTAGGAATATATATAATATTAAAAATTAAAAAGGCCATATATATATATATATTCACCTAACACAAAGTTGTTACTTTTGAATTTGCACGAAAGTCACCATAACACATGGTGATTCCGATCTAAAGGGAAGAACAAGGACTCTTCTAAGATTACCGAACGAAAAATTTGTGAAACTGGAGGACATTACCCTATCAGGTTGGGCTGTGCAGAGGATCCAAGAGGGGACTCAATTGCTGTAACTTACGAGAGGGTGAGTTAAAGAGTTTACCCGATGTTATACTTGCTTTGAGATCATTATCATCTCCAACTCATACACGGACGAAGCGACAGACTTGGAAGTGCCCATCCATGCATATCCAAAATCAGATTTTGAACCCTGCAAAACAGATCAGGATGATGACCATAAGATCGATAACAAGATAAGAAAGAAAACGGAAGATGCAAAAGCCTGAGCTACTGCAGAGGACAGAAAGCAGCAGTACCTCTTTGTTCCAAGACTGCATTCAACTGGCTCCACGTCCATGAAGCTTCCATCTCAAACAGGCAGCCTCATGCAGCCAAATCCTTCCAACCTCGTATCCCTGAAACACAGATATCAATAGATTCCAAGCCCATGGAGCATCTCAGAGCAGTAGTTGATCCTGCAAACTTGGCATATTACTGAAATGCAAACATACAAATCCATTCCTGAAGATACAGTTTACGATCCAAACAAGGAGTTCAACTGATCAAACTCCAATACAATATTGTTAAGAGTGCCACATCACTCAATTATGCTGTTTCACATCAGTCGGACACAAAGTGAGACGTAGATATAATTAAGTTTTATCATAAGCAAACAGCTGCAAGCTTCGAGTCTGATGACAGCTCTTCCAACTTAGTGACTACAGTCTCCTTGTCTTATCCATCAAATAATTTGTCCTGAATTTCCCTGTTCACCACATCTTTCTTCCTTCGCTGAGAAACCTTTATCATCTTAGTTATTTTATCTCATTTCAGCCAGCTATGTCTCACACTGTTCACCTGAATCTGTTCGGCAGTTCCTGAAATATAAATACAAATCTTTTAAGAAAATCTGAAGGAAACCAAGTAAATGCTAATGTTTAAGCAAAATAGAAAAATATAACAAACCCCTCATATAGTTTTTGAGATGTGAAATCCCCGAGAGCAAGTTCGATCATAGGCGGGGCCAGCACAGGCTCCCCCTGGACCGAATCCAGTGAACGGTTGGCTGATTGCTATTCAGAATCTTCCTCAAATTCCTCATCTGACAGCTCATCAAAAGCTCTCAAGTCAAGCTGATAACGAAGAATTCCACCAATGCCACCAAAGCCTCTACAAAATTGAGACCCCTCTTGTGATTTATTAGTAACAAATTCAAGGGTACATCCAAAACGTTTGTATTCATTTGCAAACCACTCCAGCAAAGAAATTTTCTCCTGCACCTCCAGCTCTGCAGAGGTAGCAGAATCCAGAAAGTTATTCTGATCTGTTTCTTGATCCTTCCTCAAATGCTTTATGATGGTCTCCCCACTAGTACTATGCTTAAGGACATATCTGTTTATATCCAAATTCTCCCACACAATTAAGGTCTCAACAGCACCCATCTCAAGAGCTTTCAAGGTGTCCTCCACACCAAAAACATACTTCCCAGTGTCTTGACTTATTTCCTCAAAATACTTACCTATCAATTTTTTTTCCTGTATGAACTTGACATTTGACAGAATCTCAGCAGATAGTTCAATGGCTTGGTTAAAACCGTTCTCACCACCATAAGAGACATCAACCACATTAAGAATTTTAGCCTGTAATCGTTGATCAAACATGTCAGATTGGCTCAACTCTGTTTTAAAATCGGCAGATCCAGCCAAAATCAATCCAGCAACATTAGGCTGACTTGTGGCAGGGTTGATAAAAAATTGTGTTGCAAGCTCGGCAGTCTTGCGGACGTAGTTATGGCGCTTCTCCATCCGAAGGCGAGCAAATCGCAATGCTGATTGCCCTCCTCTCCCATGCTTTTTTGGAAGGTCAACTGTGAACTTGTGAAGCACCTCACGTGTATTTCCACTTAAAGTGCCAAAAAGAGTGCCATTGCCATCCATTACTATGAAACCAAACTTGTCATCAGATTCCAAAAGCTCATTTAATGCCTCTGTATGGAACTTGTTATCACAGAGATAAAGAGAAGCATTGATGGGCTTGAACGGCTCAAAATCTATTGTGACCTTCTTTTCTTTTCCATCCTCGGTAACAATTGTTCCTGTGTATAAAACTAGTCCATTTGGAGGAACCTTGTTGTAAAGCTTCAGTCTCTGCTGAGCAGAAGTGATTGCACCTAGGACAGATTGCCGATTGACTCTACTTTTGATATTCGAAGCAGTTCCGTATTCATCACCTAGCATCTTAGTGACTCGAGAAACTTGATCACGAGGTGGCATAATTAGAGAGATCATGCTAGTGCCATTACCTCTAGCTTCTTCCAGAGCCCGGATTAATTTCTTGACCTTCCAGATCTCAATGTTCTTATCTGTTTCAGCCATTTCAATGAATCTAACACAAGAAATAGCTTAGGTAGATCTACCTGAAAAGAATGAATATATGTACATATATATTAAATTTACATGGAAAGTATGCAACAACTATGAACTAACTACGAACTATCAGAGGAACAAAAGGAATCCTATGTCATACATACGTACATGCCACACAGATTGAAACAGCTTAATGAAGGGATGCTGAAAACGCAATTTCATGAACAAAAATAACAGTGTGTATAGCTCTAACAACATTTAAGATTTCAGCAAGCACAATAAACATCCACATTTGGTTGAGGAACAGTGACTTCTAGTGCAACCATGGGTAAAAATATAATTTCAAATTTAGACTAGAAGTAATTGGTCTACAAGCACAGGAAAACTATAAGCTTTCCTTTCAGAAATCATGTATAGCTCTAACATGTTCAAGATTTACAGTAAACACAAGAAACATCCACATCAGGTCCAAAAACATCGACTAGTAATCTAATCCTTAAGTAAAAAAACTAACTACAAGTTTAGACTAAAGTAACTGGTCTGCAAGCATGGGAAAAATATAAGCTTCCCTTCAGAAATCAGGTAAAATGAGTAATATTTTAATCTGACAAACAAAAAAAAAGCAAAATCAATAGTGTGAAAGAGGATTATATGACAATTTAAAAGTGAGAGCTTTGAACTGTAAAAGTAGCACAAGAGAAGTACAATGATAAAAAAAGAGATAAGTAAAATGATTAACGAAAGTAAAATGCCCCCTTTTGCCACAAAACACTAGTAAAATGCACACACCTTATACCCCACGTAGACTATCCCTCATAGGTTATTACTAAAGTACAATTTCAAAAATACATAATGATAGCGTTAGACCACAAAAGGTCGCAAAAATGAATCTTCCGGACAAAAGTGACCTAGCTATGCATCAATGAAGGAGAAAAGCCCAAAGATGAAACTCCCCTCTGGCCTTATTATAATGGGTATAATTCATTTAAACTACTGATAATAAATTACATAGGTTAAGGCATTCTCAACAATTCAAAATCCACATGCCAAATTGATTCCTAATCGTGCCTTTGGGGGCAGGAAAATATGGCACCCACATATTGTTAGACTAACATTTGTCACATATCCACCATCTGTATGCCAATTTTACTATCTCAAACTTCCTTCATATGAAATCTTGATTTCCAAAATTACATTTCGAAGTACTTATGTACCAAATTAAATTAACATCAACAAAAGATATCTATGGCATGTACGTTATTATCAAGGATAATAAAACCTAAAATGTAAAATCAAGTGAAAGGACTGCTAAAGATATTACTCAATTTTCAAATACCAATTTCACGCTCAGTGGATTTGGTCAAGAAAAATCAAAAAGATCTTCATTGATCACTTATTTCCACTGAATAATAAAACTAAGATATTTCAAACTTTTACATTTAGAAAATTATTGTCCGTCTAAATTCTTTTGGTTTAATTGTCAAAGTTTCACATGGGAGGAGAACTGGCAGAAGAAGAGGATGAGGAGTACCAACAGAATAAAATAGCAACCCGGAGAAGGAGATGACAGTGGCACAGCAAGGCAGAGGAAGTGAAGCAGCAGCAGCATGACAGACAAGTAGAAGTGGAGGGGAGAGAGAAAATGAAAAATATGGCAGCTGCAAGTGACAGTTGCTGAAATTAATAAAAATTGTTGCAGGAACCAAACAGCAAGCTAACTTCTGGGTTTTGGTCCCCCATGGATTGTTCAGCATTTGATAAGGTTCCATAGCAACTGATATGGACTGTATTTTGAACCTTGCTTAGTCCTACCACCAAAAACAGAACACTTATAGAATGTTTATTAAATAATGCATTAAAATAATGTATGCATCTTCCCTTATTTCAATATCATTAACAAGTACTCTTTAAAACATCTGATAAAAACCAAATCTCTACCTTCTAAATTCTCAGTATGACATTAGAGTCCAATGATCCAAGTAACAAAATTTTGACTTCAAGTTAAGATTAGCAAGGTTGATGAATCATGCCTCGATCAAGTTTAGAGGTTTGAATATACCAAAGATGTCAAGATAAGTTGAATAGTTTATATGATACAAACATATGCTAGAATCGACAAAGCTAATGAACCATGCCTGAATCAGGATCCAATAATATTAAAAGAGTTGGATGAAGCCAACCTGGATGAAGCCAATTGGTCATACCGATGCCAATAGGGATGATGCAGACAAGATATGCATAACGATGGACTCTAAACCCTCAAGAACTCTAGGCACTCAACAAGTGAGCGGAAGATGACCAAACCCAATAGGACTGATCGAGCCACACATGAAAATCTAATCCAGTCACACATGGAAGGGGGAGATTGTTCAAAGATCTGAGATATTAATGTCTGAGATGAGCATTATGATAGGTTTAAGAACAGTCCCGCATTACTAAGACCAAAAAGGAATCAGGCCACATATTCTGAAGTTGACCTATTATATAATAGGTTAAGCTTTTAGGTAGTGTTGATGCTTTCACTACCTTTAATAGGGCAGCAGATGTCCTTTCCCCCAACTTTAGTACTTAAAGTTATCATAAAATACTGTAAACCTTGTATATGGTCACACTTAATCTTTTTTAGCCTCCTTTTATAGCGACAATGAACCTTCCAAAATTCTATTCATTTTCATAATTTTACCTATCTTTAGGACATGCTGTAAATGCCTTTGGAACTTCCTCACACCACCACCAACTTTCCCTTGACAAACATTCACACCTTTACTCCAAGAACTTCCGTTGATCTTTAATCTTACTGTTACCGGCCATCATAATCCACATGATACTAGCAACATTTCCTTACAAATTTCAAATCCTTTCCTTTTCCAAGATACTCTTAAAAGGCCTCATATTAACACGTTTCAAACTTCACCATCTAGTTCTAGTAAAAAAAAAAATCCCTTTTTCTTCAATTTTCTAAAACATATTTAGGCAGAACTATAGTAGTTAAATTTTTCATTCCTTTAAAAAGGAACAAGATGCAAAACACCTAGCCTGTGTTGTTTGTTCTTTCTCAAGAGGACCGGTTGTCAGATGTATCTTAAGAAGGACCAGTAAATTAATAAGATCGAGTTAATTCTAATTCGTCAAAAGATGTTAAAGATGGTCACGGTCACCATTTTTATGCCCTAATCTACGACCCTTGTGCCTCTAGCTCTTAGCTCTTCACACCATCTTGTCAAAGTTAATGAATAGTAGATAACATAGTATCTGACTGAAACCAAGGAGGTAAGTATATTACTCTATTTCGTTAAGATACTCGTCGTTTTTTTTTAATCTTCTGGCAACACTTCCAATCAATCATACAATCCGATGACACATGTTGTTTTGTTCCAAAGACAAGAAACACAAACTAGCCAAATCTACCTATTAACCTAATGAATAAAAATAATGATAGTGGCATGTTTTGAGAACCCATAATTTATTCACGGGTAAAAATACAGCTAATAACTCATATAAATAAAGTTAAACCTCAAAAAGAAGCACATAGAATATGATATATCAAAAGTGAGTAAAGCAAATTAAAAAGAAGCCAAAAAGATATTTTTAATACATATATTGAAGTTAAATGTTCTGGTTTCATATGAACATTGATAGTTACAGCTGGAACCACCAAAATCTGATCATAACCTACCAGATTAGATGGCAACTAGAAATGGAAAGTCAAATCTAACGAAAACCCTTTCCCAAAAAGAACAAAGGTATCTTTCCAGGTGAAGTTTACGCATGCACAAGAATGAAGATCCATTAATTACTCGGAGAAACTAGAAAGTTGCGTTTATTTCTAGACTACATGAACCACCAGTCATAAACCTTCGCTAAATTTTACACCAGACCGCACAAACATGCTTGTGAGTTCCTAGTTACATACAAACATATCCAAGGTGTCCTAATTAACCACACATCATAATAATTAATTGTTAGGACCCTTTTTCTGAGCTTTTGAATAATGTTTATTGAGTCTGTTTAGTCCAGTTGTTTATTGAGTCAGTTTGGTTCAGTTAGAGTCAAATAGAGGTTTATTTAATATTTATTTATTATTAGAGTTCAAGTCCTGATGGACTTTGGGTGGAACTCTATAAATAGGGATGTAACTGTTTCTTTTCAATAATCTATGAAAAATACTATTCTGTCTTTGGATAAACCTTAGGAGGTCGATCCCCTCGAAGTGATCAAGGAGGGCCGATCCCCTCGAAGTGATCAAGGAGGGTCGATCCCCTCGAAGCGATCAGGAGGCCGATCCCCTCGAAGTGATCATTATCATCCCCATTTCTCCCATTTCTTCGACGATAAGACTTTAGGGTCTTATCATTTGGTATCAGAGCCTACGATAGGACTTTAGGGTCTTATCATTTGGTATCGGAGCAACGATCCTTGGCGCAGCCCGCCGCAGCCTTGCTTCCCTTCTTCCCCACCATCACCGTTGTCGTTGTTTCCCCGGCCAGCGACCTTCGACCACCGCTCCACCTCCCCGCT